GAAAAAGCATCTCTTCCCAATATGACCCTTTCTTGGACTGGAAATACTGGGGAATGGCCTCCTCCATGATCAAGGCCTTCTGATTCCACTTCTGATTTTACTTTTCTCTCACCTTCGGGTTTGTAATCTAAATATGAAGCAATGTATGAGGAAAAAAACAACCCCTGAGCTACAAGTCCTCATTCTGCACTCATGTCTCAAGGCAGAGAATGAGAGCCAAAGACAAAAACAGGCTTCACATTCTACCCAAAATATAACAAAAGCTGTAGGCGTGGATACAGGATTGTGGGCTTGTGTTATTGCCATCACAGAAGCATGGCCCAGGCACTGTTCTGGCCTCTGCTCAGCTGGCCACAACACAGCAGTGAGACTTCCATGTATTTTTTGTGATTTCAGGAAAAACCTTCTGTTGCTGTTCCCTCACCTGGCTCAAGGACACCACAACATCAAGATTTGCATAACTCATCTGGTCACATCTGCAGGATCAAAGAAGCAAAATCCCATCCAAGTCCTGGAAGGTTGGGGGAGGCACCAACACACAACCTAATGAATATTTTGAGGTAACTTATAAAAAACACTTATCTAAATCAGGAGTGCCGCAGAAAAAGAGGAATAAAAAAGAGATCTCCATAGGAACAATCCTGCCAACCAGGACAAACAGCTCAATGCTTATACAACAGCTTTCAGTTCCATGCACAAAATACCACTGGACACCTATGGAAAGGATGAAGTTCTCATGTCATATCAATCCCATAGGATGCAATCCTGCCTTCAGCTCTTGTGCTGAGTGTTAACTGTAAGCTGTTAAACAGCTGCAGGGTTCCAGCTCTTCAGTGGCTACACTTCAGACCAGGATCCAGCAACATTTTTGCACATGTGTCATTTTGCACATCTGAGTACTTAATCCACAGGAGGAGGTTGGCACACACATCCTTACTCCATCAGGACAGAAATGTTATCCTGTAGAGATTACTACAGCACCTGGGAAAGTCAGCATACGCTTTTAGCAGCTAATTTTGACAACTTCCATCTCTGAGCTACATACAGGAATAACAAAAAACTCACTTTAGCCTATTTCCCACAATTCAGATAAGCTGAAGAGTGCACATGAAATTTTCTGTTTCCTATACTGAAAACCAGGATAAGCTGAGCAGGGACGGGTGACACCAGCATCACACAAACTACCTATGGCTTATGGCTGGAGTCCTGTCCCAGAGACAGTGCTGGACTAGGAGCTGAAATCTCCACCTGGGCCAGGAATCTTACGATGTCCCCTTGGATCCACCCATTCTCTTTACTGCTATCACCCTCATTGTACAGCAGCTGTCTTCTGTCTTCAAGGACAGGAGGAGGGGAAAAAGCCCTGGATTTTTGAGTACCTCACTTCCAAAACGCCATATTTTCCTCATCAAAGTCAGAAAAAGATTCTCTGCAAATATAAAAGCTTCTGATATTTCAGTTTTCTGCTTTCCTATACTTCCAGTCCAATCCCTGAACAACCACCCTCGTTCCAGTGCTTTCCCGATGTAAGACACCAGCAAACTTCACCAGGAATTCAGTCAAACCAAAAAATAAAGCCAAGGGTTTGGTTTCCACACTGCAGTCCTGAAATCCAGTAACACCCTCCCTACCCCCTCACCTCTCTGCTGCTGAGATCTGACTGAAAAATAGAGCTGTATAGAGGTGGGTTTTTAATACTTTTCCTGGATGGAATTCTATTTGATGCTGTTAAGCTTTGATGACATACCCCAATGACTTGCTTGGAAGAAATCCATTTAGCAAGCTTGCAAATCATGCTGCTTCAGTTCTGTGAGTGCCCATGAGAAATGTGCATTTTCAATCATAAAAGCTGTAGAAACAAAATGGAACTTGGAGACGCAGACAGACAAATTCCTTATCACGGCTTGGCTGTGCTCACAGAACATGTGCTTACCATTTCCAACTCTGGAAAACTACTTACAGGAATCTGAAATACAAGATTGAATCTAAAAGTAAGAAACTGATAAATTTCTAAAAGATATAACTTTTTTTTTTCATTTCAAAGTCAAAATGGAGACTCAGATAAAAAATAAAGGAACCTTCCTGCCTCCCCTGGCTTTTCCTAGGAATAGAAATGCTTGTAATATGATCCATGCACAGAGTGCCAGATTTACAGAGGTCCCCTTATGTTTCTGAGGCAGGATACTTTGTTTTGAGGAAGCTTGGAGGAAGGGAAAGCAAATAGGTTGTTGCACTTTGTTCACCTCTCCCAAATGCTCTTTGAATGGGAACAGTGGAGGTTGCAGTGGGGATGAAGGATTAGCAGATCCCACTGCCACGGGGCAATCCACACCAGCAGCAGATCTTTGAAGCCCAGAAGCTTCCAAAAAGATCAGTTAGTCACATCGAGCTGGGAGAGAACACAACCCTATGGGGAATTTTCAGTGGTATTCCCTGGGCACTTCCTGACATATTTTCCTCAAAACACAACTCGTTTCTTCAGGATTCAGTCAATGACAATAGCTTTGATTAAATGCAAAAGAAGAGAATTAGAGCAAGATGTGAGATGATCAACACTGCAGGCAGTAAAACCTGATGCAGTTATTTTCCTGGTATGATGAGCCAACTACCTCTCTCACTGGTTGGGCTGCCTCATCCTTTCCTGAGCACTCTCCTTGCTTTTGTATCCATCTGCTGTCTCCCATCCCATCCATCCTTTGTCAGCTCTCTGCATGTCCTCCATTTGATTACTGCACTTTGTTTAGCAAAGCACAGACCTGATCCAGGCTTAGAGCCCTAGGCACACAAACAGCACAGCTCAACTGCTCTTTACACTGCAACAAAGGGGGCCTAAATTATAGATCAGCACCTAAACCACCCAGCAGATTGACAGAGTGCTTGGAACATGGTTTTATGAAACTTTCCTCTTGCAGGAAAGCCAGTTTAAGAAGCTCTTGCCCTCCCCACTGCACTTCCCTATCCTCACTTGTTCCAGCGCAATCACTTGCTATAGCAACCTGCTGCAGAATAAAAGAACATCTCCATCATCCTCCAAATGCTGCTGTTTAAATAAAGCATTGATCGGGTCAATAGTCTGATTGATAGTGCAGTTCCACAGGGAGCAGCAATCAGCATAACTCTGCAGACCCTGGTCACAGCACAAGAGTGCTGAGAAGCAGCTTTACTACTGGAGACACTGGTTGTGGCATCATATGCTGAAATCCAGCTCCCAAAGATGCCAGCTCACAGACTGGATATTAGGAAGGAATTCTTCCCTGTGGTGGTGCTGAGGCACCGGCACAGGTTGCCCAGAGAAGCTGTGGCTGCTCCACTCCTGGGAGTGTTCCAGGCCAGGTTGGATGGGCCTTGGAGCAACCTGGGCTAGTGGAAAGTGTCCCTGCCCATGGCAGGGAGTTGGAACTGAATTATCTTTGAGGTCCCTTCCAACTCAAACCATTGTGTGATTCTATGATTCCCATTTGTACTTCTGAATTTTAAAGTGGTGCTGCATTTTGCACAAAGCCTGACACACTTTGACCCCACCCACACCTGCTATTTATGTGTTTGTCATGACTGACAAGAGTACAACCGTCTAAGGTGCCTAAGAGACACCCTTTAGAAGTGAAACCTTGGAGTATTGCTGACCTTGAAGAGCTGAAGCTCTCTCTCTTCCCATTTATCCTTGCAGATGCTGCAGCAAATCAACTGAACCTTGTGGTCAATGAGATCAACATAAAACCAAAAGGAACTTACAATCTTTCTCTATTAAGGAGAGATGATCTCAGTGCAGGCTCCATAAAATAGGAGTAATGGGAACTGTTCACGGTTGTTGAGTATCTGTAAGAGCAAAGTGCCTCTCATGAAGTGATGTAGTGAAGCTGTGCAGATGGTTTTATGCTCTAGTGTCACAACAAGGTACAAGTCAACCCAAAAGGAGTAATTTTTCCCTAGCTTTTGAGACATGCCTTCACACCCCATGTCTTCGAAAGTGCCACACTATCTCCTCTTTCCCACAGGTATCCCACGGAAAGCTCAGACTGAATGAGGAACAGAGCAAAACGTGTGCTTGCCCTGCTTGGAGAAGAGTCTTTTCCTAGTTTTCCTACTGGAACGTGTCTGAATTCCTTTTGTGTATTTTGTTTGGATGCTGCTTGGGGCAGAGGATCCTACGTTCCTCCTGTCACTGCTGGATCAACCAGTTATCCTGATGGAGCCAATATAAATGGAGCATTCCCTGGGAGGGTGGCACTATATCCATGCACTCTTGCTGTTAATCACCACTGTGGCACTTCTGACTAGAGATTCCTACAATTCTGGAGGGCTGAGACTGCAGGAACTAATTCTGTCTCATGAGAAGGAAGAAAATGACATTAAAAAATGTAAACAAATAACCTTACCAACACAATCTCTCATTCAGACATCTTCCAAGATGGGGGAAAAAATCTTTAGGGAAACAAACATCAAAACGCAGAAAAAAATCTCATCATTCTAAAAAACTAAATTCCTCATAATAACAGTACAAACTCTGATTGCCTTTCAAATTGCCTTTCAAATTACTGTCTTGTCACAGAGTCTTCAGGATGAACAAGCTCTGAAGATACCTAGAAACACAGTTTTCTTGCAGACTGTGGTTTCAAAGTTATTTCCCTTTGGCTCAACACTGTGACAGTGCTGATGTGATACTAAGCCAAGCATGTTTTCCATCAGTGAGACAGATTTTTGCAGGGGATTTTAATACCAATCACCTTCACGTTCACCTGCAATAAAATAAAGATTTAAAAGGCCTTTACTGACTTCAACTCCCAACAATTCTGAAAGAACTCCATTTTATTTACTTAAAAATATTTGCTATATTCACAGAATCATTCAGTAAATTTATAATCATAACAAAATTGTAAGAAAAGTAGTAGAAAACAAACAGCACTGGTATTGTGATGGAACACCCAGACTATCACACTAGACAGACAAATGTACCAATGACAAAATCTTCAGACAGTGACTGTCACAAAGAGCCATAAGCTTTAAAATGTGTCTGTCCCTGAAGAATCTGACTCTCCGTGTGCATTGCTCACACTCAGTGTTTCACTGTCTGTGTTCATGGCTGGCACCTCTGCAGCAGAAATGTGGGAATTCAAATGTGGGGCAGCATCCTCTCCTGAAACAAAAGGAAAGAAGGAAAAAAATACATTATTTGCTGCCTGTGACAACGACTGAACTCTACTGAAGTCATCTCCATATTCCATGGAAATACAAGTACACACACACCCCCTTACTGTCCACAGTTCTGAGGCATTTCAAAGGGTGTTGCTTTAGCCATCAGAGATCTCCTTACTAGGTAACAAAGGGATGAATTTCTGTACATATGTAGAATCACAGAATGGTTTGGGTTGGAAGGACCTTAAAGATGACCTTGTTCCAACCCCCTGCCATGGGCAGGGACACATTCCACTAGACCAGGCTGCTCCAAGCCCTGTCCAGCTTGGCCTGGAACACTCCCAGGGTTGGATCAGTCACAGCTTCTCTGGGCAAACCTGTGCCAGTGCCTCAGCACCCTCACAGGGAAGAATTTCTTCCTAACAGCCAATCTAAACCTACTCTCTGCCAGTTTGAAGCCATTCCCCCTTGTCATGTCACTCTAGGCCCTTGCATAAAGTCCCTCTTCAGATTTCTTACAGGCTCCCTTTAGGTACTGGAAGGACTGAGTTGTTTATAGACTGACTTGTATTTACATACAGATACACCCACCCACACATATATATAACATCTTAAGTAGGCCCAGAACAATTTCAAATATGAACACTGGTGTTTTCCACAGAACTGAAATGGGATCCACAGATGCTAACAGTATTTCTAAATTCCATCCATATGTATATGTCTGTTTGCATCAAACCCTTAAAAAACATTCAGGTTGTTCTAGACTACATATCCACATACAATCATAAATAGCGAAGCAATACGAGTTGAAGGCATTGGGTGCAAGTCCTACTGAAAAAAAAATGACCCTCTCAATGCTTCAGCTGCCTATAATATATGAGATGATGTTTTGGCTCTCCCTTACTCCATCCCATTTCCCTGGTTCATTAAAGGTCCTTCTTGCTACTCCTTTGTGGTTTATCTCCATTCTTTCATCCTGTACCAGACTCCAGAGAAAATGCACCCAGTCTCCCTCTGGAGATGTGGCTTGCAGGATTTTACAAGTCAACATCATCTTCCAACACCTCTGAGATGCACCCTGCCACTTCACATTCCTGTGACCTAACCCTGCAAAATGTGGGAGAGCTTGGGTGAGGGACAGGACCCTGCACAGCCCAGTCAGCACTGCACCTGCAAGGGAGAGGGACACATCCCATAGAGCTTCCAGCAGCTGTGACACTGCAGTGCTGAGATGTCCTCCTGTCTGTGAACCCCTGGAAGAGCTGAAAATATCCTGTAGCCAGAACCCAGAGATGGGATGGAAGAAGGGTCATGGGCAAAAATGAGTATATACTTAGCCTGAGGAAGGAGACAAAATGAATCAATTCATGGAGCAGGAAGAGCAAGACATGGATCAGGCTAGAGACACAGAATGAAAGAGCTCAGGAGAAATGATGTTGGAAGAATGACACGACAATCACAAAACTACAGGAAGAGCATTTTGAGATTTCAGTTGTCCTGGGAACATTTAAGTGTAGCAGTTACAAGCAAAACAAACATATATATGAGTCTGTGTATAACAGCAAATGCTGTCTTGGAGTTTGTTCTTATCCAATAAATTCTAACAATTCTCTCTTCCTCTGTGATAGACTAGGTAATTAAAACACTATTTCCCCAATAAAAGCAAGTTAGGCTTTTTTCACCCCAGTTAATTATCTACTGTGTCACTGTAGCAGCAATCCGCATTCATCTGACACGTAGCAAAACATGCTTCAAATGGCTAATTAAAACAAAAAGCCACTGCTGAAATAAAATTCCATCCGGTGTTTTTCATGCTAGAACAGCAGCCACAGCCTGGGAAGACAAACACCAACAAGGCCAAAGACAGCAAAGCCAGTACATGGGGTGACCTGTACCAGTCAAGTCTCCTGCCATTCAGGAAGGCAGCAGGAGCACAAAAGCATTTCTTGTGCCCCCAGGGAAGAAGCACATCACCTGGAGAAGAAAAGCCTTTGGGGAGATCTTAGAGCTGTCTTCTAGTCTCTAAAGGGTCTCCAAGAGAGCTGAAGGGGGGCTTTGGACATGAGCATGGAGTGATAGGACAAGAGGGAATGGCGTTAAGTTGAAGGACAGAAGGTTTATATCTTAGGAAGAAATTCCTGACTGTGAGGGTGGTGAAGCACTGGCACAAGTTGCCCAGACAAGCTGGGGATGCCCCATCCCTGGAAATGTTCCAGGCCAGGCTGGGTGTTGGTTGGAGCAACCTGGGCTAGTGGAAGGTGTCCCTGCCCATGACAGGGGGTTGGAACTACATGATCTTTAAGGTTCCTTCCAGCCCAAACCACTCTGTGATTCTAGTCTGTAGCCATATTTGGGTGATACAAAAAGGCTGTTCAGAAGGAGACTTAAAGAAAAGCAAAAGGTTGATTTGGTCAGACATGAAGTTGACACACAGTAAAGATGTCACTGTGCAATGCCCAAAGAAACCTTGTAAATCAGCCCAGACACCAAAGCAACTCTCCAACGCTGTGTGTAGTTTGATGCTTTCAAAGCTTGACTTGGTTAATAATTTCCACAGTCATGTCACATTCCATGATGTCATTGTTTCAACAGCTGTTTTCAGGTTTGTGGAAAAAAAAAAAAAGAATAAAATGAAGAAAAAAGGAGAAATTAGAGAGGGGGAAAAAAAAAGAATATTCCCTTATCCCAAGGTTCTGTAGTAACTTCACAAGTCGTTGATTCTGGGAGTGCTAAAAGAAAGTATCATATTAGCCTACATTCTTCCTAACACATACTCTGAAATGTTTTACAGACATACTATAGCTCAATTTTATGATACATATAAAATGCCAAAAGACTGAAAAAAGCCAAAGAATAATTCCATCTACTTGCTCAACAGAAAAGTTACCAGGTGCTCAGTTATCTAAAGAACCTTCAACTTAAAACTACCCAATGTCAATATTTCCCTTTTTTAAAGGCAGAAATCTGAAGTCTTTGACTTCATTAGATGCACAAAGAAAACACAGCACATGGATTTTCAGCATTTTAACTGTAAAAAACCCTGTGGATATCCTATTGCAGCTACATGGGAGATTCTGCTCCATCACTGTAACTTCCCAGGATAGAAAGCTGCTGGTCCTGAAACTCTATATTGGCCCAAAAACACAACTGCTAGGTTACTCTCACCTGTGTTTTACCATTAGTACCTTTTGCTGAAGGTAACCTCATGCATGCACAGTGCATAACACAGAGTATATATACATCTAGGGATGGCATGGGAATAAAAACACAAACAGAAGCAGAATGGTTTAAAATGCTTGTGTTCCTGCTCACAGAGCTGTTACTGATGATGTCTGTACCTGCCTGTTGTGCCCCAGTGACAGTGCTGGTACAGCCCCTGCTCTGCTCCTTCTTTAAAAATGTGATATTCCATTTCATTTCTTCCCCTTACCAGAGAGCAGCTCATAACCAATAGTAAGGTGGTTTCCTCTTCACCAGCACAAATCTGCAAACTGCAACGGTTAAAATCTTTTGATATGCCATAAGGAGTCAAAAGGAGTGAGCAGCAGGTTGAGGGAGGTGATTCTCCCCATCTGCTCTTGTGAGGCCCCACCTGGAGTACTGCACACAGCTCTGGTGTCCCCAGCATTAAAGGGCATGGAACTGTTGGAGCAAGTCCAGAGGAGGCCGCAAAGTTGGTAAGAGGACTGGAGCATCTCCCCTGCAAAGACAGGCTGAGAGAATTGGGGCTGTTCAGCCTGGAAAAGAGAAGGTTGTGTGGAGACCTCATAGCAACTTTCCAGTATCTGAAGGGGCTCCAGGGAAGCTGGAGAGGGACTCTGTAGTGATAGGACAGGGATTAATTTGGTACAAATTGAAAGAGTGGAAATTTAGATTAGGTATAAGGAAGAAGTTTTTTAATGTCAGAGTGGTAACCTGGCCTGGTGAGAGGTGTCCCTGCCCAGGGCAGGGGCTGGGACTAGATGATCTCTAAGGTCCATTCCAACTCCTTAATATACTACGAAATTATAAGAATGGAATGGAAAACCCTTCCCATTACAAAGCAGGGCAAGGCAGGAAGGCAGGTAATCTTGATGACTTTTTTTTCCCTCTTTGGAGGCTCTGGGATTACCCAGTACAATTTTGTAATCATGTAGTTAGGTGCATTTATAAAAATTTTCCTTGTTAAAATCCAATAAATGGAATATGTGACCTCAGGTGACCTCCAGTTTTCCAAATTAATTGTCAGCATCTAATAGAATAAATTCATATAAACTGAAAGCTGAGAGTCTCAGTAAATGTTTCAGTCCTTGACTGGCAAAAACTCACCAGTGACTGAAAACATCTTGATGACTCACTGATGGAAAAGGTCAGATTTCAGATTAGAGATTTTCCCTGTTCTTGGCAATCTATAACAAATTCATGTACAGTACTAAATTTCCAGACCTTTGTTTAACAGAAGCATAAAAATTAATGGTGTGTCAACCATCCAGTGACCTGTGAAGGGAGTTTTTCTCTAACAGGTTCCGTCACAGAGAGTAAGTTATATACGAATGTGTCGTGAATGTATGCCAAAAGAAAAAGGAATTAACCACACTGAAGGGAGGTTTGGTCCCTAATACCATATGGCAACAATAAGAACAAAGGAAAATGTTTAAATCTTTCTTTTTAAATTTTTCTATTTGGCAAAATAAAAAGACTAAATAAGTCTGACTTTTAAGCCAAATGAAAACCATGTGCTTTAACTCCTTCAACTCAGTGTCCATAGATTAAATAAAATGGCTATTTTTAATCTATCTGGAGATGAAGCAGACACAAATCTGGTCAGTGAAAAGTGTAATCACAGAATCATAGAGTGGTTTGGGTTGGAAGGGACCTCAAAGCTCACCTAGTTTTACCCTCTACCGTGGGCAGGGACACCTTCCACTAGATCAGGTTGCTCCAAGCCCCATCCAACCTGGCCTGGACCATTTCCAGGGATGGAACAGCCACAGCTTCTCTGGGCAATGTGTGCCAGTGCCT